ATAGATATATAGATATATATATATAGATATATAGATATATATGTATGTATGTATGTATGTATGTATGTATGTATGTGGGAGCAAGAGGAGTGCAAGAAGCTGAGAGTGAGTAGGCGTACTGCTGGAGGTCTGAGAAGTACAAGCGTTATCAGACATCAGGAGGAAGGTCCGGTGGTGAGGATGAAGAAGGTGTTGGGAGGAGGCCATGGGGAAGTAGCCCACGGAGTTGTAGCTGTCATGCAACTGTACTAGGAGGCACTCTAAACAGCTGCAGTCCACAGGGCCCTGGGCTGGAACCCGGAGTAGAGGGCAGGCTCGGGTTCCCCCCAATACCTCCCAACTCCTGATCAAACACAGGAGGAATTGACCTGGACTATAGCTTCTACCAGAGGGGAAGGTCTCTGGACTGTTTCGTGACCCACAGGGTGAATCTGTGAAGTGAGCAAATCCGCCAATAAGCGCAGGACCCACCAAGGTAGAGGAGGAACTTTGTCACATATAATCAGTTATTCTCCTCCCTGGGGGAACTTGACATCTGGAAAAGAACTGACTTTAATCTCATTTCCAACTGAATGAGGAAAGGATACTCAGTTTTAGCGTAGGCAGTGCAGAGAAGGGCATCATAAATAAGCAGTAAAGGATATCAAGGATTTCTTTTGGGTTCACAATTCACCTTGAATGCCCTCCGTTTGTAACCCTTGGTATGGCAGCATGCACAGTTTAAGTAAGATATGCCATCTGCCCACATAGTTCATATTTTACCTTAATCTTTTGTCAATGCATGTTATTTCTGAATTGCAGACACTCAGGTCTGGGGAGAGCACACAAGGGGTAGATTCTGTTTTCTCCCATGTAACAATGTCTCTAGGAGAAACTACTGACATCATTCTGCATTCCCTATTTGAAACTAGTGTTCTACATTAAAATAAGACCTAAAAGGAGAAGCTGATTTCACTTTCATGCCTAATTCAACTTTTCATATAAAGCAGCATTTAGAGCCTGATCCTGCACCACTGAGCTCAATGGGATCTCTGCCATTACAGGGCTGCCTGGGTGGGCGGTGGGTGGGGGGGGAGACAAGTGGGGCAATTTGCCCCAGGCCCCCCTGAATCCTCTGGGCAGCCCTGTGCCATTAACTTCAATGAGAAAAGAAAAACTCTTAGGCTGTGGTCCTGGAAGTGGTTCCATGTGGGTAGACCCAGAGCCCCAGTAGAGCCGCATAGAAATCAGTGGAGCTCAGCAGGGGTTGGAGGTCTGCCAGTGTAGACGATTATGATTTCACTGAGTAGCTCACAGTCCTCTAATCTCTATTGCAGTAGCTCTTCTTAAAAGTAAAATACAAATATAGAAAATACAAGAGTCCAGTCATGCATTTCACACACACATCATTTTCCCTCCCCTTATCTGCCCATGTCCAGGGAAAGGATAGATAGATCACAAGCTGGTTTTAAAACAACTTGCTTATTGTTCCCCTTGTGCAAAGGGTAATATTGAATTTTAAGGGCAGATTTGCTCAGAGTGACTGCCTGGAATTACTAATGGAATTACTAATGGATACAACACGCTGTGCTTTTATGGCTTTACAAACGGATCTCAGGAGATTTGGAACCAAATGGGAAAAAACGCTAGAACTACTTGGCCTTTAGGAAGTAAATGAAGGAAAATCTCTTGGGGGTACTAATGTGATCTCCCCAGATCTCAACATTGGTTTTTGCTTCCTTTGCCTCCTCCATATTTTTCTTTTACCTTCAGCAATTAAATGGCTCCAATCTTTTGATTAGAGGTGACTCTTAAGACAATACCATCATTTTGAAGCCATGATTTCTGTTAACGTAATTACAGAGCCCTGCTCTGGCTTTAAAATTATGGTGATTTTTCTATGAAATGTAATTACTGTCTTCTGGTCACAGTGCACAACAGACCCGCGGCAAAGGCAACTACTAAACAAGATTTGCTCCTAAACAAAAATACACAATGTTTGAATTTTGGTGCATTTGTGGTTAGTCAGTTTAAATACCTTTCTAATCATTTTGAATGGCAGGAGATATTTATCATCTTTTCCTTTGTTTCCTACAGTATTGATAGTATGTTATGTCCTGCTTCTCACTATCCGACAGAATATGTCCAGAAACATTACCACTATGGAAATTTGACTCAGTAACAATTGTCCTTCATTCTTGTCCTATGCTCCAGTGTGTTGTATAAAAGTTAATAGCATGTTTCCGGTATTAGAACAGAAGACAGGTTGACAGGATTGCCTGAGTACTAATTCATACTCTTAACACTGACTTTTTCTGTACTTTGGATAAATCACTTACCCTCTCTGCCTTAGGGCTTGTCTATGCTTAAAACGTTGCAGCAACGCAGCTGTAGCCCTTCAGTGAGGACACAACCTATGCCAACAGATGGGGTTCTCCCATTCAGGGGCGGCTCTATGTATTTCGCTGCCCCAAGCACGGCAGTCAGGTGGCTTTCGGTGGCGCGCCTGCGGGAGGTCCGCTGGTAGCATGGGTTCGGCGGCATGCCTGTGGGAGGTCCACCGGTCCCGCGCCTTCGGCGTCCCTGCCACCGAATTGCCACCAAAGCCTCAGGACCGGCGGACCTCCTCCAGGCATGCCGCCGAAGGCTGCCTGACTGCCACCATCGCAGGGACCGGCAGGCTGCCCCCCGCGACTTGCACCCCAGGCACACACTTGGTGTGCTGGTGCCTGGAGCTGCTCCCATTGGCATAGGTAATCCAGCTCCCTGAAAGGTGATAGCTAGGTTGACAGGAGAATTCTCCCACCAACCTAATGCTGTCTACACTGGGGGTTACGTCGGTTTAACTGCGTCACTCTGGGGTGTGGATTTTTCACATCCCTGAGCCATGTAATTATACTGATCTAATTTCCTAGTGTAGACCAGCCCTTAGTTTCCCCCTCTGTAAAACAGGCATGTAAAACACTTACCTACATCACAAAAGGGTGTGAAGATTGAGGTACGATAATGAACTGCTCTGCAGCTAAAACACGCTCTTTGCACTAAGTGCTAGGTACAAAGACAAGCCTCTCTTTCACTTTTAAAAATATTAAAGTGAATGTAATGCCAAAGATAATGAGGGTCAGATAAGAGCTCCTTAGAGTATGGGATCATGTATATCTGCATAATGTAGGACAAATCCTGTATTATTTAACCACACAGGCTCAGATTCCCGAACGTATTTAAGCTGCCAGCTTCTATTGAAATCAACTGACGTTAGGAACAAAAAATACCTCTGAGGATCTAGATATCAGTTAACGGTGAATGCTATAAGAGCACCCACAGGGAAAAATTAGTGGGTGGTAGCCAAGCTCCCCTCACCCCCCACCTCTGTCTCCTCCTCCTCCTCTCCCTCCCCTCAGTGCGCCCCGTCCCCACTCCTCCGCCTACCTCCCAGTGCTTCCCGCCCAGCGCATTAGCATGCTCCGGGAGGGGGGAGGAGTGGGAACGTGGTGCGCTCAGAGGAGGATGCAGGGAAGAGGCGAGGCCGGGGCGAGGATTTGGGGAAGGAGTTGGAATAGGGGAAGGGAGGAGGGTGGAGCTGGGGCGGGGACTTTGGGAAAGGGGTTGGGATGGGGACAAGGCAGGGGTGGGAAGAGGCAGGGTAGGGGCGGGGCCTCATGGAAGGGGTGGAGTGGAGCGGGGCTGGGGGCAGAGTGGGGACCACCCATGGGAAAGTCAGTGCCTATGGTGAATGAACTGGAGACACAATTTATCCCTACAGTATATTTCCCTACACTGTTCTTGCCAATCAACTTCAATCCTGACTTGTTACATTCTTTGATGTCCTCATCCTAGGCTTAAGTCTTTGTGATGAATAGTGCCAAGCCATGGGTTTTTTGCAGTCTTCCCAAAGGTGGGTGTGATGGGTTGGACCCCCCTATCCGGGTGCCACCAGATGTGCTGGGGTCCCACTGAGCCTGTCAGTCCTACCAGCCTGGGTTTCCCTTGCATTGGGTTGCTGTGCCAACCCCTATCAAGCCCCTTTCCAGCACACACCCAGGCAAGGCCACAACCAGCTGCAGACAGACTGAAATCAGCTCTGTGTAGGAGGATTCAGCTAGTGGAATGGCTAACACTCCAGTGCACGCACCATCTGGAGTGTAAACCCCCAAATAATATTGTAGTGTGCTGTATAGAGAGATCTGTACAATGCAAGCTCATAAAAATCACCTCCTCCCTCAATGTGGAGGGAGAGATGCACAGCTTTTTGACCCTTAGATATGAATTGCACAAACTGGGTTTTGAAATAAACAAGAAATAAGTTTATTAACTACAAAAGTTAAATTTTAAGTGATTATAAGGGTTAGCAAACAGAACAAAGCAGATTATTGAGCAAATAAAACAAAACACACAACCTAATCTTAATTCACTAAAGAAATGGGTTACAAAATGTAATTTCTCACCCAAAATGGTGTTTTAGGCAGGTTGCAGAGTTTCTGCAGCTTAGAGTTCCAGTTATTTCTCTTTACAGACTAGACCCCTGTCTCAGCCTGGACTCAGCCCTTGCCTTTCCCCAGCTTAGTTCCTTTGTCTCTTCAGGTGCTTTAAGCAGTCTTTTTTCTTGGGCAGGGAGGCAATGGAGAAAAGCCCTGATTGACTTACTTCCTAGCCTTAAGTAGGATTTACATAAGGTGGCAATCCTTTGTTTCCAGTGGAAAAATGCCAGCAGTGTCCAAGGTGGTACTTCGTACAAGGTGATATCAAAGCAACATCCCAGGCAGCTCCTCTAGAAGGTGGGAGATTAGTATCTTCAAAGTTCTATTGTCCTTCTTAAATGGCTCATTCAGGCTGATTGCCTACTGTCTGGTGAGCATTCCCCCAAGTACACACGCAGTTGTAATTGTTATATAGTCAATATTCCTAACTTCAGATACGGAAATGATACATGCATACAAATTGGATAAACATATTTTGTAGATCTTTCAATGATACCTCACATGACCGATCTTACATAAAACATATCTTAGATATGCCATATTTATATCATAACAATATTTCTATGAAGAATGTGGGGTGTAATGTCACAGTGGGTAATCAAGGTCATTTTAAATTAGGGTATCAATATACTTCCCTTTTAAAAGGTTGGATAGATCATGTCTTTATCAGTTTTCCAGAGATTTACAAAAAAAATAGAAAAGATTATAAATATTATCATACAATTATAAATTATAGAATATATAAATTATAGATTATATAAATATAAATAGATTATTTAAATGTATATTATATTATTTATAAATTATGAATTATAGATTATAAATACAATTATAAATATTGTAGCAAATCCTAGTATATCCTACAATATACTTCTCTTTTAAAAAGTTGGATAGAGCATGAATTTCTCAGTTTTCCAGAGATACAGAAGTTTACAAAAAACATAGAAAAGATTATAAATACCAGGCTAAGGGACAGATTTAGGAGCCTAAAGATGCAGGTGGCCACATGCATGACCTTGGATAAATCGTTTAATCTACTCCATGCTTCAATTTCCCCATTTGTAAATAGCGTTTACTAACCTCACTGGTGTGTTGAGGATAAATCCACTAATGACTGGAAAGAGACAAAATAGTGTAATGATGAAAACCACACAAGTAGACTCCAAAGCCTCATTATCCTGGTGCATAGTTAATCAAAGCTCTTATCTTTTTCCACTTCTAGAATGAGGTTTTAAAACTTTCTCAATCAGCAGCTTAAAGCACAATGAAATATATAATATTAATACCATTGTACTGGTATCTTCACAATGGCTACATTATCCTCGTATTTAATTTTTCGCTGGAGTGTGCTTTGTCACATTACACCTTTGTTAGGATGAGTCAAGCATTACATAGTAATGCTATGTGAAATATTTGCCTACAGCATTGAACCTACGGCAGATCGGAGTGGGTGTAGAGTCTAAGGTACTACATATAAACCAACTTTTGGCAGACTTTGCTAATAGTACTTACATGGATGTATTCTTTCTTTATCCATTTCCCTGGGTATCCTTTCCATGTTTCCTGCCCAAGATCTCTCCTCCTTACTGTTTTAAATTATATTGTGATATAGCACTTTTAATCGGCATATTGCAATACTCTTTACAAAGGAGGTCAGTATCATTATCCCCATTTTACATATGGGGAAACTGGTGCAGCGAGGCGATGGCCTGAATCCAAAAAGGAATTTAGGCATTTCAGTGCCTAACTTCTAGGTGTCTTGAAAATCAGTGGAACAACAATGGGAGCCACAAAGTCAGAATTAGGTGCCTAGGCTGCCTATACAGTACCTGGGGAAAGACAGGGGCCAAAGAATGGGACCTACAAAATCCAAAACTAGATAGTGGAAGATGCCAATGAGAGGCATGTGTCCTAAGCCACACCCCTCATACAATATTTGGCACCTAAATCCAGCCTGCAGGAAGGTACCTATTGCTGCTTGTGACCCACAGCGAGGAATCCCTTTCCCAGAGCAGTTTAGACACCTAAGCCATTTCTTGCAAGAACTCCACAGAAAATGGCGTGGGGGGGGGGGGGGAAAGGGGTGGAGGAAGAGAAGAAGGCCCGGTGGTGGCAGCATGATCATCTAGATTATGGTATGTTCTGATGTGGGTCTTGCTCAGTCTCTCTTGTTGAAGTCATTCCTCTTTTATTAAATGTTAGTTGGGCTAGCGACAGAGTGATAATCACTCTGCAGTCGAGTGCTTAGGGCTCCCACCTGTTCAAATCCCTTCTCCTCATTAGACAGAAGGGAGAATTGTACCAGGATCTCCCACATACTGGTGAATACCCTAATCACTGGGCTAAAGGCTATAAGGGAGTTTACCACCTCTTCCCCTCACAGCCAATTTCTGTGGCGGTAGATGTGCTCTGAGCATGCCTAATGAATTGGGCCCCATGGAGAAAATAGACATTGCACCATCTCTCTTCATCTGCTTTGAGGATCACACTGGGGCTTAGTCATAGATTCATAGATTCATAGATTATAGGACTGGAAGGGACCTCGAGAGGTCATTAAGTCCAGTCCCCTGCCCGCATGGCAGGACCAAATACTGTCTAGACCATCCCTGATAGACATTTATCTAACCTACTCTTAAATATCTCCAGAGACGGAGATTCCACAACCTCCCTAGGC